ATCTTGACGTTGCCTCCTCTGGGAAGTCTTCCAGCCTACCGGCGGAGAGGGTACTCTGTGGCACCCTGTCCTCCCTCATAACTGTCTGCAGTTGATCCTCTTCCCTTTGAGCTCCCTGAGGTCAGGTAATAGGTCTCATTAATCTTTGCATTCCTGGTTCTTGGCATCATTCCTGGCATGGAGTCGGCATCAATGAATGCCTGAGGAATGAATGGAGGAGCTGGGCCAGCACTACCCACAGAGAGAGGAATGAGGACAGAGCAGAAACCAACATCAGGAGTTATCCCAGACTCCCCAGCCCCACCAACAGGCTCACCCTGGTTGGTGACCAGGTCAGGGTTCTGCCTTATCGCCAAAGCATCTCAGATAAGGCAGGAGCAATGCATCTTAGCTCCCTGCCTATCCCCTCCTCTTCTTCCCCATAGGAGGAGCTGCCACCCAAGCATCCTTGAGAGCATGCCCAGAGGAGGGAGGTGCAGGGAGCAATGAGGCCAGTTGCAGGGTACTGAGTCCAGAGAGGAGCCAGGGCATTTGCAGGACCAAATGCATGAGTGACAAGACAAGCATGATCCTGGGAAAGGAGACTGGCTAAAAGGTGGTTGCTGGGACCTAAGGACTGGCTTCTTCATTATAGCAGGTGGGGGCTCAGGTTGCCTTGAGGACTTGTGACCTCTATTGCCACAGCCAAATGGTTTATCCCAGCTTCAGCAGCCAGAAGTTTGTACTGCATGACATGATGTGCAGATTGCTCTGAATCTCTTCCCCCAACACAAGGTTACAGAGTGGTTAGTTAAGAAGAGCAGTAGCATCAATCACCAGCTGATGGGCCATTGACAGAGGCAAGTGATCCCGTTACCTTGAACCCCAGGGTCATGATCTTCTCTGCTCCAGATGGCCTTTCCTTTGAGGTTGCCTTGACCATTCTGTCTCCACGTTCAGGATCATCTTGGGCCTTCTCCCCAGGACCCCTCTAGACATGCTCCATGTCTGTGAAATGGCTCTGATACTTTCTCTTCCTTACCATCCCACAGCCAGTATTCCCACTCAAACCTGAGTTATGACATCCTCAGCTCATAGCAAATGCCTCCTCTTGGGTCCCCCTTGCCACTTATGGTGTCCCCACCAAAGCCCTATTTCCTGAAGTATATCCTTAATCATGTAGCTCTCTGCTCACAACCTCCAATGGTTCCCTGTCAACTTCAGTCCAGATCTCTTAGCTTGCCATTCAAGGCCCCCGCTGATCAGATCTCAACACCCAGATTTTTAAAAATTTACATCCAGATTAGTTAGCATTTAGTGCAACAATGATTTCAGGAGCAGATTCCTGAATGCTCCTTCCCCATTTACCCCCATCTCCCCTCCCACAACGCATCCAGCAACTCTCTGTTTGTTCTCTATATTTAAGGGTCTCTTATGTTTTGTCCCCTCCTTGTTTTTATATTATTTTTGCTTCCCTTCCCTTACATTCATGTTTTGTATATGAAATTCCTCACAGGAGTGAATTCATATATTTGTCTTTCTCTGACTAATTTCACTTAGCCTAATACCCTCTGGTTCCATCCACATAGTTGCAAATGGTAAGATTTCATTCTTTTCAGTTGCCAAATAGTACTACATTGTATATATATACCACATCTTCTTTATCCATTCATTGGTCGATGGATATTTGGGCTCTTTGCATACTTTAGCTATTGTCAATAGCACTGCATGTGCCCCTTTGAAATAGCATGCCTGTATCTCATGGATAAATACATAATAGTGCAATTGCTGGGTTGTAGGGTAGTTCTATTTTTAATTTTTTGAGGAACCTCCATACTGTTTTCCAGAGTGGCTGCACCAGCTTGCATTCCCACCAGCAGTGCAAAAGAGATCTTCTTTCTCCACATCCTTGCCAACATCTGTTGTTGCCTGTGTTGTTAATGTTAGCCATTCTGACAGGTGTAAGGTGGTATCTCATTGTGGTTTCGATTTATTTCCCTGATGATGAGTGATGAGCATTTTTCCATGTGTCTGTTAACCATCTGGATGTCTTCTTTGGAGAAATGTCTATTCATGTCTTTTGCCCATTTCTTCACTGGATTATTTGTTATTTCCGTATTGAGTTTGATAAGTTCTTTATAGATTTTGGATACTAACCCTTTATCTGATATGTCATTTGCAAACATCTTCTCTCATTCCATAGGTTGCCTTTTACTTTTGCTGATTGTTTCCTTCACTGTGCAGAAGCTTTTTATTTTGATGAGGTCCCAATAGTTAATTTTTGCTTTTATTTCCCTTGCTTCTGGACACGTGTTGAGTAAGAAGTTGCTGTGGCCAAAGTCAAAGAGGTTTTTTCCTGCTTTTTACTCTAGGATTTTGATCACTTCCTGTCTTAGGTTTAGCTCTTTCATCCATTTTGAATTTATTTTTGTGTATGGTGTACGAAAGTGGTCCAGGTTCATTTTTCTGCATGTCACTATCCAGTTTTCCCAGCACCATTTGCTCAAGAGACTTTAATTCCATTGGATATTCTTTCCTGCTTTGTCAAAGATTAGTTGGTCATACGTTTGTGGGTCCATTTCTGGGTTCTCTATTTTGTTCCATTGATCTGAGTGTGTTTTTTTTTTGTGTGTGTGTGTGTCAGTACCATATTGTCTTGATGATTACAGCTTTGTAATATAAGTTGAAGTCTGGGATTGTGATGCTTCTACCCTTTTCTTTTTCCAGCTTGCTTTGGCTATTCAGGGTCTTTTCTGGTTCCATACAAATTTTAGGATTGTTTGTTCTAGCTCTGTGAAGAATGCTGGTGTTATTTTGATAGGGATTGCTCAACCCCCAGATTTAACTCAGTCTGCCTCTCCATGATGGCCCCCATACTCACCTTCCTGTGATCACTCCAAGACTCCAGGCCTGTTCTCTTTTTCTGGAAATCCTCCCTTATCCATCTCTGCCTTCTCAAATCTTGTCCATCCTTCCAGGCTCTGCACACATGGAAGCTCCCTGGTCCCTACAGCTGGACATGCTCTCTTCCTCCTCTGGGTCTCCCAGGAAGCTTTCCCAGGATGTGAACCCTTGGAGGACAGTGTTGTTGTCTCATCTATCTTCCAGCCCCACAGTGTGTACAGCAAAAAGAGATGTAGAGTGAGCAAATGAACACAAAATCTAAGCATTTGTTTACTGAGCACCTACTATGTGCCTAGCCCCTGCTAGGCATTCAGGATACAATGGTGAAAAGGCAAGTGTGTCTGCCCTGTGGAGTGTAGACAGGCCATGCGCTAGAATGTGCTAAAGATTAGTCACAGCTCCATTCATCCCCTCTTCACCTTACCTCCAGCAAATCTTGGGTCTGCCATTTTGGTTGCTTGTTGGCACGTGTCCAGGGAATGCAGACCTATATACAACACTGGCCTGGGCTGAAGGTTCTTCAACAGCCCGAGCAGAACTAACACTTTTTAATTGTGCCCTCCACTAGCCAAGTCCTTCTCATCTTTAAAATGCATCATAGGGGGGCGCCTGGGTGGCTTAGTCGGTTAAGCGTCCGACTTTCGCTTAGGTCATGATCTCACGGTTCGTGGGTTCGAGCCCCGCGTCGGGTTCTGTGCTGACTGCCAGCTCAGAGCCTGGAGCCTATTTCAGAGTCTGTAACTCCCTCTCTCTCTGACCCTCCCCTGCTCACGCTGTCTCTCTCTCTCTCTCTCTCTCTCCTAGAAATAAATAAAACATTTAAAAAAAATAAAATAAAATGCATCATAGGTCATACCCATTCACCAGCTCAGGGACCACTTCCTCCCTGCAGGGTCCAACCCACTCTCAGCTGCCCCCAGGACAGGGCAGCCTAAAGTCTTCAAGTGTTGTAGGGAATGAGAGGTCAGGGAGCCCTGGCTGATCCTCATGGGCAGTCAGCTCTGGCTGTGATGGAGGACCAAATGGCTTCTCTTTATTTTCTCCCCACCTGTCCTCTGACATGGGAAGGAGTGGGAGGAGGAAGAGGAAAGTTCCTACATTAGACATTCTACCCCTGGTCCCCACGGGTTCACAGATCCCAGACGTAGACCTGCTACCAACCAGGGGCAGTATCCACACATTTATCCACCACACAGCACAACCCTGACCAGTCACAAAGGACACTGGCTGATGGGCTGGAGTAGAGTCCCAGGGGTTCCATGCAGGTAACAGGCATTGCCCTTTTCATTGCTGGATTTTGAGGCTACCCAGGAGTTCCAGGGGAGGATCAGGAGCAGCTGGGGCAGCTGGAGTGGGTTACTCAGGGAGTCTGGACAATGGTTACTTACCTGCTAGAACAGAAGTGTTTTTGATACTTACCTAAATATTTCAACAGCTAGTTTGACCATGTCATTGCATTCCAGCCTTACCAGCCCTGCTACAAACCACAGTGCCCATGTGATCACATCAAATCCAACTTAACACCACATGTTTTATTGATGTTTTTCATCCACAACACATTGCCATGTGTACAAATGCTACTCAAGTCCTCTGGCAACCTCCCCGCTGTCACCACCTACTGGCCATCCTGCTAGAAGCTGACCCCTGCCGGTCTCCCTTTTAGTTTCTCTCCCCATGTCAAGCCTCACAGTGCTGAGCCTCCAGGAGGCTGGGACTGGCATGACTAGCTTCCAAGCTTGAGCCCTGGGGTCAGGAGAGAGCCAAGGTCTGGATTGCCCAGGGAATCTCTTCCCTCCCCTTCCACTCCCACTTTTTAAGTATGGCCAGAACTGGGAGGGGGGGTGAAGATGCTCCCCAAGATTCCTTCATCCAGCCAGCCCGGGCTCCTCTTCAGCTTTCTCTGCAATATCCTTCCCCTTCAAGTGACCTCCCCTGCTGACACAAAGATGGCAGACTAACCATTTTCCAAGGGGTGGGATTCAGTGCACAGGGGCAGTGACAAGATGCTTCAGACGGCAGAGATTTTATTGTCTTGTTCATCATTTTTGTTTGTTTGTTTCAAGTTTTTATTTAAATTCCAGTTAGTTAACATATAGTGTAATAGTTTCAGGAGTAGAATTTAGTGATTCATCACTTACATATAACACCCAGTGCTCATCACAACAAGTGTGTCTTGTTCATCATTGTATACCAGTGCCTGGAAGAGACTTGGCACAGAGTTGGCACTCAAGAAATATATCTAGGATGCATGAATGAATGAAAATGGGAGGGAGTTATGAGCCAGTGGTGCCATTACTACATTAGCCCTGTAGGGGGCGTGAAGATAAAGCCAAGGCAAAGTCCTCCTGAGCTCTGCTCAAAAACTCAGTGTTGTGTGACGATGCTTGGGGTGGCTGTGGCCACCAGGTGGACACTGTAGGGCGTGGGCTTCAGCCCTGCTGCCTGCATGGATGGTAGACCGGCCTTGGGATCCAGTCAGAGAGGCACTTGTGTGGTCCCCACTCCCGAATATGCCCTAGAGGTTTGACCCTCTGGGCCCCAGAACACAGAGCAGTGCCCCCATCCAGAGCCAATTAGGTAACCAAGGCTGGACTCACAGCTGCCAGACCTTCCAGCCTTGCTCTCCCACCACTACTCCCACCTGCCCCTGACACTGCTCCATCTCCCTTTCCTCAAGTGCCAACTCCTCAGCTAGCATTAATACCCACATTGTCTGGTCTCACCAGAGACCCCTCCTCCGTGGCAAAGTAGGGTCCTTAAAGTTTGCATTATGATTTTCAGACCCCCCCCCCCCCATGCCTTCTTCTCACTTCATGAAAGCAAATAATTCACAGGCATCCCTACAGATCTTGCCTCTGGACCTGGCAATCGCAAAGCAGGCACTAGAATCTTGGGGGTTGGAAAGGATCTCCCCTTTCCTGACCCTGTGCAGAGATTCTTTCCACAGTATGCCTGCCAGATGACTGACCAGTCCCTGTTGGAATACCTCCAGTGGGGCACTCTTTACTTCCCCAGGCAGCCATTCAAACTGAACAGCTTTAGATGCTAGAATGTCCTTCAGAAATGAACCCATTTGCTGTTCTCATTTTCATTTTCCAAATATCCCAGTGCCCAACCTCTGTGTGACCTCTCTCCTCCCCTCCCCTAAGCATTTTCTAAATTTGCAACAACACTCCTCACCATCTCTCTCTCTCTCTCTCTCACACACACACACTTCTGTATGGCCATGCAGCCACATGCTTCTCCCATTTATCAGTATTTCTCCTTTCCTTCTTCCTTCTTTCTTGCCTTCCCAACATCTAGCAAAGACCCCAGAGACTGGACATCAAGGGAGAAAGCTGGGAGACTGCGAAGGAAAGGAAGCATCAAGGCAGGTCCTAGACGGGGCTGGGTGGCCAGGTGGGGCAAGGTGGACAGGGACAGCACTTGGAAATCCCAGGCCCGTGGCTGTTGTCTCTCTCAGAGAAAAGGCTTTGCAACTTGAGGGTGGGGCAGTAAGCTCCTGAGTTTCCCTTCCACTGCTCACAAATCTACAGAGAGAATAAGAACACACCCCTCCTTTTGCAATCTCCCTAGAAGTTGTCAGAGCTGACTTGGCTACCTCTCACACATAGTAATTTTAAACATTTTTGCCAGCCTCTGGGTCCTGGGAGCATCATATCAACAGCAAGAATCCACTCTCCATCCTAACACGGGTCTGAGAGGAAGAGCTCTGGCCTATAGCTGTGAGAACATGAGACATGGGAGAGAGTGGATGAGCCAGGCAGAGGGGGAAAGCAGGGGCTTCAAGGGGGAAGGAACAAAACAAAGGCCTCCTAACAGTTGGCTGGCTCTTGGGAGCCTAGTATTGCCTGGGTGGCCATTTTTGCTTCTTGCCACAATCCACCAGCCAATGCTGTTCCCTATATGTCACAGACCTGGGACAGATGCTAGAACCTTCCTGGCTCAAGGTTGTATTGGGTCCTGGGTGGAGATAAGAGTGCCATGGTCTTATGTTCAGGAGGAGTCAAGACACACACAGAGAGACATGAGGGGAATGCTATTTGTCACGCTGCTTGGAGTTCTCACCTCCGACATTGAACATGGGGACCAGCAGGCCCAGCAGCCACCTCTTCCCGAAGACCTCCTGTAAGTTCTTGCGCCAGGGCCGGGCCCTCACCGCCACCCCCTTCCGCACCTGGTGACGGGTTTGCCCCCTGAGGATCAACAGCAGCTGATGGCAGCAGAAGCCCGCGCAGGCCAGGCCGATGGCAAACCAGAGGTAGAGCATGAGGATGACGAACATTTCAGAACCGAGGACAGCTCCTGCAGGGTGGGGGGAGGGGAACACCAGAATTGCTTTACACCCAGGCCACGTACTGAACTGCGATCCATGCAGGCACTTTCTGCTAGGGAAGGAGGGAGATTAATGAGACTGAAGCTGTATTTTGTAGCAATCTTAGCGCTGCAGCAAGGGGAAGAAAGGATGAACTAGTTGCCCTAACTTTTTCTTAGAGTCAATGGCTCCTGAAGTGAGAGGGAGAACTGGTGACGTGGTGGAGAAGAGAAAGAAGCTTCTCCCAGTAGTGCCTGGATACTAACATTTCCTTAGAGCCAGGGACGCCCTCTTTCTCTGCCTTCTCTTTGTGGTCTGGAAACCGGGAGAAGGTGTTTTTTTCAGGAGGAGAGAGGGGTGAGCTAAGCATGCCTGGGAGGGAGTTGGCTCCTGGGCTGTTGCCTTGACTGCAGCGCCATCTCCCTACAGAACTGGGAACACTGGCTGGAGGACTCTGGAAAGTGACAGCATGATGGAGAACAGGGGCTAGTCATCAAGGAGAATAAGTCACAAGCTCCAAGGGCAGTGCAGAGCGCTGACTTAGAAAATAATTCAGTCATTAATGTTAACGAGAAGACAGTGTGGCCACTAGAACATTTGGCCAGAGCTGTCAGCCAGAGCTTGCTAAGGCTGGAAGATGCCCCAAGATCATCAGTCTAGCTCCCTACCTTAGGCAGGACCTCTCCAAACCCCTCCATAATGGCATTCTCTATCACTGGTTTTAAACATCCACTGAGTAAAAGATCCCACACTCTTCTTCAGAACAGTCCATGCTAAGTTTGAATCTCTCGGCTCTGTGGCCTTGTATAAATTATCAAATCTCTCTGAGTTAGAGTTTGCTCATATGTAAAATGGGTATAATAATAACGATTCCATAAGGTTGCATGATTCGGGGAAAAGGTGTACAAAGTGGCCAGCATTCCGGTTCACGCTCAGTGCAATGCTCCTTGATGACAGTCATTTACAGATGAGGAGACTACATCCAATAAGGGCTCACATTTAACTCCCAAGACCACCCAGCTTTCTCCTTCTTTCCAAAGCTTTGAGTCCTGGATGGGCTACACCTTTGGCAGCCATGGCAGAGACACCTACCTTGACCTGCCTAGCAGCTAGGGCAGTGGGCCCCAGAGAGAGCTCAAAAGCCCTCCTCAGCCCCTCTCTCCCCGCAGGGCAAGCTAACCACCACCCCCTCCAATGAGATGAGGGTGCCTGTTCCAGGGACCCCACCTTACAACCTATTCAGCCCCTGCACATCTCAACCACATCCTTCTTCTCCAGCATTCCCTGGCTCTAGCTCACCTCTTCACTGGTCTCCCCAGTCCCCAGTTTCCAGACACCTGAGGGATGGGCTTTCAAAATGTGTCCATTCTGAGCAGTGGTGGACTCAGCAGCCAGGAGGATGTGGGCCGGATTCAGGTTTGCTCATTAGCAGCTTTGTCTTGCCCTCAGCCCTATGAGCTTTGATAGGTTTTTCCTTGCAGAGTTGGAGAGAAGTAAGCCCAGCTGCCCAGGGGACAGAAAGCTCACTCCAGCTGGCATTTTGAGCAGCCCCTCAGCTGGCATGGGGGCGGCAGTGGGACTGGGCTTATGTAGGGCTGTTCCATCCCTCTGACCCACTTCCTACTTGTCAGCACAGGTTAGCTCAGGCAGCCGCATGCAGGATCCCAGGACCATGGTGCCTTCGGGGCTCCAGGAATGCTGACAGGCAAAGATGGCCCCAGAGCTACGATGTGAGAACATCAGAGCTGTCAAGTGCAGGGCCTGCCTTGCAACTCAGCCGCAGGGAGAAGCCTGAGCTGATGGAAGCTGTTTTCCACAGGCTTTTTTTCTGGCACTAAATCAAGACATGCGGAAAAGACCTTGTGGCCTTTTCCTGGCCCCTTGCAGCAGCTACAAAAGGCTATTCTGGGGACCTGCTTTCTCTTGAAGTGTTTGAAGTTGCTCAGACTGGCTGCCTCAGCTCCTCTGAATTATTTAATAATAGTTCTTCTTTTAGAGAATCACAGAATTTTCCTAAAGGGCCCAAATGGTCACATCATCCAATCTTTCCACCCCTGCTTCCTACCCAGCATCCGTAACACCTTTGACAGATCGGCATCTTTAATAGACAGCCAGGGACAAGAACCTCTCTTCCTCCCCAAAGTACCTCGATCATCAAGAAGCAGCTCCAGAAAGACAGTGTGGTGCGGTGGAAAGAGTATGAGCTCTGGAGGCTAGCAGACCTGGGTCCAGTTCCTGGGTTGGAGTCACATTCGTGTGGTTTGGAAGCAACTTAACCTTGCTGAGCCTTTAAAATGGATGTGATAATCCACATACTATGTGCTCAGCAAATGTTAGTCCTCTTCCCCTTCTACTGGACTTGCTGGTGGCACCCACCATGCTGGCACACTTATCCCAATGACACAGGTCAGGTGGTATCATCTCCATTTCCCAGATAAGAGGAATGAGGCTCAGAGCTGACACATGCTATACCAACCCCCTGAGGCCCAAAGAAAGGACAACTTCCAAAATTGAGCTGGCTAGTCTCCTACCTCCTTGGCATGAGCTGAGGGCCCACGCTCCCAGCCACGCTGTGCTCTTGTGGCAGATCTGACTCAGGGCAGCACCACAGCTGCAGACAGCTCAGTCTATTAAACAGCTTGTCCCTCCTAGTCCTTCTGTCCACCTGCCCTCCTGAGTAGACAAGAGAGGTGTGCCCTCAACCATCTGGGTTGAGAATAAAAGGAAAAGACATAGGAAGGGAGACGCTGACGGGGTCAGATGCGCTGATGGGGTCGGGTGCGTGTGTGGGTGGGGAGGGAGAAGGGCTGGCGAGGGGGAGGCAGGAAGGTCAGCAAAGGAGGAAGATGGATGGGACGGGAGAGTCAGAGATGAGAAATCTTGGCCTCCTTTTCCCAGTGGGTATGGGGAGGAGGTAAAAAGAGGTGCTGCAACAGGGATCTGGGCCCCAAGGTAGTCACTGAGTGGCTCTGTTCTCCCCCAGATCAAAGCAAGAACCCCCTCTTCCCTCCTATCCTGTCTTCCAAACCTAGCACATATGGACAGTCCTCAAGCCCAGGCTCATCTCGAATCAAACCATTTCAAGATCCTCCCTTTGGAGCCATTCATTCTGATGTGATGATGCTACTTGGAAAAGAAAGTGTAATCAGGCTCTCTGGCTTTCCTCATCCCTCCACCTGTCTGTGCTCACACCCCACCCCCTAGCCCGCCCACCTCCCCTCCCCCGGTCTGGTTATTTCAGTCCCAGCAGCCTCCTAGGCCCGTGCCAGGATCCAGAAGGCCCCAGAGTTCTGAGTTTTGGGCCGAACTCAGGCACCAGCCCTCAAGGCAACCCCACAGCTGCGGCCTTCCTGAGCTTCTGAGCTCCCACTACCCACGGACACAACAGTTCTGCTCCTGTGAAGGACTCAGCTAAGGGCCCAACAAAGACCAAAATGATGGCTCCCCAGAGTGGAGCAGAACTTTCATAAGGGTCCGGCCCAGGCACATTAAAATAATCTTGGGCTTTCAATGGATGTAGCTACAATGTGTGTCTTTCTTTGTCCCTGAAAGGCCAATGGTGTGCTAGGTTCCCCGTGCTGCTGGGGGTTGCTTAAAAACCTGGGCAGCGGTGGGGGTGGGGCAGAGGCTGCCTGTCAGTCGTAGTAAGATCCTAGGAAAGCCGTTCAACCCTCTATGAGCCTCAGTTTCTTCATCTAGGAGATGAAGCTAACAATCTCAGACACACACATGCGTGCACGCTCGCAACTGTAAGAACAAAGCGGGCTGGAGTCAAAGGCCAGGGTAGGGATGGAATGGAAGGAAATGAGGGAGGGGTGAATTTCAAGGCCAGGTAAAGTGCTAAGAACTGCCACCAGGAGCCAGGCCCCTCTGTGACAGGTATCAAGGAGCCCTCCTTGGGGGCACAGTATATAAAGTACAGTCCTCTCCAGGGTGCTCAGCTGCGTGCTGGGGTGAAGGCCCACGTGCCTGGCTCCTGCAGGTGTGCTCTCCCTAGAGCATCAAATCCCATGCCAGTGCCACAGCACTGTGACGTGCAGATGGGGCCATTAAACGCGGCTGCATCTCCAGCCAGGGTGCCCCCTGCTCTGCGCCATCGGCAGCCTAGAGAACAGCCTGGTGGGGACAAATGTAGTGGGCAGGAGGGCAGGGCTCAGCCTTCTGTGTGTGTGTATGTGGCGGGGGGGGGGGGGGGGGGGGGGGGGGGGGGGGTCTGGCCTGACACCATGGTCAGTCTTACTGTGGTTGGCTGGCAAGACCTTTGGAGGGCACAATCCTTGGGGGAATGTGTGAACAGGATCGGAGCCCAGGCAGAAGGAGGTCAAAGCACGGGTGTGCCTCACAAGCTGCATGGTGGGATGGCCAGCACCCCACCCTGCCTGGTGTGGAGCAAGCATACCGACTGGATCGCCACAAAACTCTAAGCAAATAGTCAGTGGCAAGCAAGGAGGAGATGATGAATGGGGGGGTGGGGTGGGAGGGTGGAGAGGGAGGTGGCCAGGTAAAATACAGTACGCCCAGTTAACCTGAATTTCAGATACATAACAGAATATTTGTTTGCATATGTATTTAGTTATAGAGAGAGCATGAGCAGGGGAAAGGGGCGGGGTGGGGGGGGAGAGAGAGAGAGATTGAGAGAGAGAGAGAATCTTAAGCAGACTCCATGCTCAGCGCAGAGCCCAATTCGGGGCTCGATCCCACGATCCTGGGATCATGACCTAAGCCAACATTAAGGGTCGGATGCTCGACCAACTGAGTCACCCAGGCACCCCGTTAATATCTAAATATGCCCCATGTAATATTTAGGACATATTTATATTAAAAGAGTTATGCATTATTTATCTGAAGTTACAATTTAACTGGGCATCCAGTATTTTTATTTACTAACTCTGGCAAACTCAGGGTTGGGGTGGAGGGTCCCTGTGGAGGGTCCAACCTGCCTGCCAAGGCCCACTCACCGGAGAAGAACTGGCTGATGGAGGTGGGAAGGAGCGTGAGGAAGGCCAGGGGGTGGGCGAAGGAGATGGAAAGGACTGCTGAGATGTAGGCCACCCCGGCCACCATGGAGTAGAGGCAGGCAAGGGAGGTGTAGAGGCAGAACAGGACGAAGTTGCGCATGTTCCTGCTGCCGATGCAGTTGCCGGTGAAGAAACAGTGATGGTCGTGCCTCAGGGTGACTCTGGCGCACACTCGGCAGAAGTGGGTGCTGGGCGGGGGGCACGGGGCCCTCCTGGCCGAGGGCCCCTGGCAGGCGTCCAGGTCGTCCGGGGAGTTCTGGATGACCAGGACGTAATTGCCCAGAGCATTGGTTGAGAGGAACAGGAATAGAGCCCCGTGGAGCAGCGCGGGAGAGAAGAGCCAGGCAGCCGCGGGGTCCTGGCGCATGCTGGGCAGGAAGAGGAAGAGCTGCAGCACGAAGGTCACCAGGGAGATGCACAGGAAGTAGGCGGGGGCCACCACGTTGAGCAGCCTCAGGGCCAGCATCCTCGATTACATTCCTAAGGGGCCCAGGGTGAGAGGAAGACTTACTGCAGTGTCCAGGGGGCGCAGCGGGTCGTTCCACCCCACTGAAATCAAAGCTCCCCACCCCTGTCCCTTGGATCGCGCCTCCTCTCTTCCCAGACCTGAGACCAAGCAGGTGTGAACTCCCAAGACCGATCTGGCCTCTGAGGGTCAGGCCCAACCTCCCGGTGCTCACTCGGTTTTTGAGCAGGCTCTAGAGCCCTGGAATCAGGCACAGCCAGGGCAGTCGGTGAGGTGAGGAAGGGGGAGGGGGGTGAAGGGCATGGGGCCAGCGCTCCACTCCTTTATGGCAGTGGAAATAAGCCCAGGTTTGGGATTTCTCCTTCAGACCCCCTTGGAGGAGAAAGCAAAGAATTTGGAGTGGGGCAGAGAGAAATGACCCCTTGGAAGTCCTGCTTCACCTCCTTTTCTCGGATGCTCTGCCCCGGCCCAATCTTGGGCAATACTCGGGGACCACACCCTTAACCCAAGGCTCTTTGGAGGTATGTGTGCTTGTAGGTCTGTGATGTGTGTGGTGGTGCTGCTGATGGTGTGGTGAGTGTGTGTGCATATATGGGGGGTATTCCTTGTGCACGACTCTGTGTAATGTGTGTGCGCCTCTGTATCTGTGTTTGTGTATGTATATTTCTGTGCACCACACACGCAGCCTCCGCCACCTGGCTTTTAGAAAAAAATCAATTAAAACAATCAATACATTCGCACACGCGCTCAGGCAGCGGGTGAGGTGAAGGGGGGGCGCAGCCGGAATACCTGTATCAGCCGATCCTGGCCAGCCCATCTCCTCGAAGCTGGCTGTCCTGGCTATTTCTTTGCAAAGAGCGTTTTCATTAGAAGCGACGAGATTAAAATCCCCCCTTCGCGCCCTCCCCCCCACCCTCCTGGAGCGAGAACCCAAACAACCCCGATGGCGCCGAAACCCTTTCGATGCCAACAAGCCTGCCCTGGGCGAAGGAGTGGATGTTTCGGCCACCCTGCTGCCGATCACCCCCACCTCACCCCCCACTCTACCCTGCCCCTCAAAGCCCTGGTTTCTCTGCCCAGCTTCGGAAGCCACCGGGAAATAGGATTCCCGGCGCCCGAGAGAACTTTTCCAGGGGCTAAGGAGTCGGCGAGCCCTAGGCGCAGGAAAAGTTCTGGGAAGGCGGCTGCACCCACGATGGACGAATGCCGCGAGGCCTCCGTCCAGGCTGTCCCGTCCGGATTGGGCGATCGATCACCTTGGAGTCCCCTTTGCAGGTGCCAGTGCCCCCCCGCGCCCCCCCCCCCGGGACCTGCGGCCGCTACGGGGAGCACGAGCCAGTCTCCGCGACAGGAACTCGGCCCGGAGCACGCCCTGGGGTGGTCGCTGGAGGCTCGGCGCCGCCCCCGCCCCGGCGCCCCCGGGAGCTGCAGCGGCGCTGCCCACCCCGGAGAGCCCTCGGCTCCGGTCTCCGGCGAAGCAAGTGTCTTCCCCACGCCGGTCGCCAGGGGGGCGCGGGAGCAGCCTCCAGATGCGCCGCGGCGCCTGGCAGGCGGATAGGGGCTGGGGGAGCGAGGGGCGCTCGGCCGGAGGCCCCCGGGCCCTGCACCCGATCCGGGGCCGCGGAGACCGCCCGGGCAGTCCGGGGGCGCGAGGAGCTGTCCGCTCCGCACTGGCGGCCGCCTCGCCCGCGGCGGAGCGCGGCGCGGCCGGGAGCCCTAGCGCGGCTGGCGGCGCGGGCGGCCGCCGGCGTCTCGGCCACCGCCTCCTGGACGCCGGGGAAGCCGCCCCCCGCGCCGCCGCCGCCGCCGCACCACCGCAGAGGGGTGGGGAAATGAACTCACCGAGCTCGGGTCGCGGACAAGAGGAGCCCCGGACGCCGGCTCTCGCCCTCCCCGAGGCTGCAAAGTTGTGGGCTCGGCCCCGCTGGCTCGCAGCCTCCTCACGCTTCGCTTCGGGGACTGGGCAGGTAGCGGGGATGTGGGGAGGAGGGAGCGGGCAGCTGCCTTCCTCCCACTTGGGCGCCAGCGAGTGGGGGCCAGGAGGCGGCGGGGATGGCAGCTGGGCACCTCTCAACCCCGCCACCCCTCCCTCCTCTCCCGGGGGCGGCGCTCTGGCCACCCCTCTCGGCATCGTAGACTTGTCCCCCCCTTCTCCCCTGGAGTGGGCTGGGGCGCTCTGCCTGACTTCAGCCACCAACTGGGGGATCTGGATTCAGCGCCGATGTGGATGTGCGGATGTGCTAGCCATCATCTGCTCCTTCCCTCCCGGCTCCCCCCCCCCCCCACTCTCTCGGAAGGAGGGCGGCTTGGGGGGTTGAGAGCTTGGCTTGCCAGGGGCAACACCCACAATGACCCCCGTTGTTGTGCACAGAGGCGTTGAGAACCCCAACTCTGGAGCCGGTCTGCCTGGGTCTGAATATCCACCATCCACTGCCGTGTGAGCTTCAGATTCCAGTTTCCTCACCTGTAAAACAGAGATGTGAGGATTACATGACAATGTATGTAAAGCCGTTAAACAGGGCCTGCGCATGGTAAGCACTATGTGAGTATGAGTTCATACTTACTGACACCGTCTGCTGGGCTCTTGTTGTGAACCAGACACTGTGCTAAGCCTGTAGCATAAGACAGCTTTGTTAACCCCCACTGTGCGGATGAGGAGGTTGAGGCACAGACAAGCTAAGTCACATGCCCAAGGTCATACAGTGGGGAAGTGACAGAGCCTGGATTTGAACTAATGGATAGGCCTTCAGCCTCTGGACACCCCGAATCACCCGGAGACCCAGGGGGAGCTCTAGCTTGGGAGAAGGGAGGACAGCAGAAGGTTCTTGTCCAGACACAGAGCTAGGACCAGAAGCTCCTGCCTAGAGCCGCACCCCTGTCCCCCTGTGCCTGTGCCCTTCCTCTTCCTGACTCCACTATTCTGAGGTGGGTACTGAGAGGTACCAAGAGGGCGGGGACACCTGGCCAGTGCTTTTCGGTGGGGATGGGGAGGAAGCAGAGGAAGCTTTAGATACACGCAGGAATAATGGTGTCACCACTATCCCAGTTTCCTGGGCTGTCGTAGCTCACTCATCTGGCCTTGTCCACTCCTCTGGGTGAAGGCTAAATGAATAAATAAATGTTTATTGCTTTCTCATCTGGTTGATTAAGACAAGGGCAATCCCTTAAAACGAGGACTATATGTTTATCAGCTCAGCCTATAGTTTTGAATCACCGGATATCGTTGTCTCTGTGTTTTGTTAGTGTACGTCAAAATAAAAAGGGGGCCGGGAAACCCTTTTTATATTCTGAAGGGGTCTTACTTGTAAGCAAAAGCATAGCTTGCTAAGGGCTGGTCTCTGAGAATCTGGTGGCCCCCCCGATTCCGGTAGCTACAGGGCAGACACAGGGAAGCACAAATGGCCTTTTTCCCTTTAGAGCTGCTTTGTGTAGCAATCACGGCTGTCTGGGCCCTCTCTGTAAGCTCTGCTGGCCCCCACCTCTGGCTAGGGAGGGAGGCTGGAGTGCTGGGTTTGGGTTCTATTGATTGAAGATCTCCATTCCTTAAATACCTTGAGAGTCAAGCAGTATTTCTAATTTTATTTTGCATATGGGTGTGTGGTGGGAAGGTGTGCGTTTGGATTTGTGTGTGTGTGTGTGTGAGGGGAGGGAGGGAAGAGAGAGAAGATGTTAGTGGGGGAAGGGAGCATTGAGCCAGGAAGGAGTCTGGCTGTGGAAATGCAGATGGACAACAAAAATTATTTATTTAAAAATATAGTCTATCAACAGGAGAAGACATTAAAGCTTTAGATGTCCAGCTAGCATCTCCTCAGTGCCCTCCACCTTGGCCAATTGAGTAAGAGGAAGTACAGCCAAATGTTATTTTGTTTTTCTAAAATTGGTGCTTATCCCTGATAAAATCAATAAGGAAGTCCATTTGAAAACCTCACCTTGATTCTGGACCCATCGGAATTAAGCAGACTAAGAATGAACAACTTTACTGCTACTTACCAGCTGTGGGACCTTGAGCAGGTCACTTAACCCCTCTCCTCTCAGTCTTCTCACCCATAAAATGGGATGAAGCTGTTACCTCACAGTGATGATCAAATGGGATCAATGTAATTTAAGCACTTCCGTCCCGGCAGGAGATTGGACAGTGTTAGCCTCTTCCTTCCTCCACCTATCTCTCTTCTGGGCCCTTATCTCTGCCTACAAGAACATCTTACCTTTCCACTAAAATGAGAGCTCTCTATGCTGGAAATATTTTGGGGTCTCTTCCATATCTCCTAAAATGATTATCTGCCCAGCAGAGACACCGAATAAAACTGATTTGACTCAGGAGTTGATACTGGTCTATCTCTTGAGAGATATGTTTCAAGGTCTTTGTTTCAAGGTCTTTGAAATATCTGGTAAGGACACAGGGGCCATCGATCTTGTATCCCTCCACTACCCACCCCCACTATAGTCTCATCCTCCACAAACAGCATCAGAAAATAATTTATAAACTGCACTCTCCATTGCCCTTGTCATATGTTCTTATAGTTAAGCTCTAACTATACTTGCGGGCGGGCCCAAGGGGCCAGGCACACAGGCATCTGATCACTGCCGAGCACTTTCCCAGAAATAGCCATACATCTTGCTATTTGGTGCTGTTATTTGACTAAACTGAATTCCCTCCCGAGTGGCTATCTTCCATTTTGCCTCAAAATGTTGTGAACCAAGAGAGGAGCTCTGTGCAGCTTGGGCGGGGAAACTCAACACTTATGCTTATCTAGCTCTGCAGCCCCCAGCTGTTTGGGCTGAAGAACATTCCAAGATGCAAGGGGCCGCAAGGAAGGAGGCTGTGAGGACTTTCCTTCATTCTCATACCCTCATATCATATTGATCAGGGTGAAGATAAACTGAAGTCTCCAGGTTAACTGGTGCCCTGAAATGAAGATTTTAATAGACCTCAGATAGGACACTCTTTGCTGCAAATAGCAAGTCATAGCCAGGGGCAGCCACAAAGTGCTCCCCGAGTCTCAGAAGGCTTAGCGAGATGCCATCCCTGCCTGCCTGGACCCCAAAACCATATAAGTGTATATCTTTGTCTCAGCCAACGAAATACATGGAAATTGGATTATCACAGAATTTCCTTTTGGAGGTGGTAATGTACTTGACCAACGATGTCTTCATTTTAGCAATAACACACTACTTTGATGTCATAAAGTGTTTTGCAGGTTACAGAGCACATCCACAAAATTAAAATTTTATCCTATGAGTCTCTCAACAGTTAGCTAGTTGGGACAAAAATTATTAAGCCCATTTTTCTTACGAGAAAACTAAGTCCAGAGATTTGCTGCATGCTCATTTGCAAGCCTTGCCTATGTTTGATTTAAAACGTGACTCAACGTGCAAGAATCTCACCGATACTTAACTTTTCTGGAACATCTCAAGTGCATAAAGGAAGCAGGTATGTAACACACTCCCCCGGAATAAAAGACCTGAATGATCTTTCTTTATGTGAGGTATTTATGTAAAATTACAGAAATAAAGTAAGGCAAAGTAAGCCTGCAGCACATTAATCAAATGTTCTCCAGCATTCTGCTGTTTGCGGTGCTGGAGAGTGTGTATGGAATTAGGAGCCATGATGCTCATCAGCAAAGCCTACGTGTCAGGTCTGAATGTCACCCTTTGGGTGACAGGTAACCCCAGCAGTCTCCCCGGTGATTGATGCATAAGAGTGGAATTCTTGGCTTGGCTTGGCAGTGCCTCCTTTGGAGTGTGCAGGCTGTGGAAAAACAAATGCGATCTTTTACCAATTAGCCGTGGTTTCCAGGGACCAAGCAGGCAGTCCTGGTAGGGAAGCCCGGGCCTGTGGACCAGTGTGCAACTTAGCCAAGGTGGTGGCAGCAAGATTAATTGGCGTTCTGGTCTCAAAGTGTGCAAGAGGTGGGGTGGAAGGGGCAGGGAGTGGAGGGAGAGAGAGAGGAGAGGGGAAAGAGGAGGTAGGCAGAGGGCAGAGGGGAGAAGAGGGGAACAGAGAGGAAAGAAAAGAAGAGGGGCTGAGAGAGTGCATCTGTCTGACACAATGTCACTTTATGTCTTCATGATGGAGGGCGCTCAGGGGCACAGGGGGAGATCCGCTGTCTCCATGGAGAATGCTGCGAGCCCAGGTGTCCAGGATGGGAGGGAATGAGGCAGAAGGTTGACATCTCAATTAGAGGTGGAGGGAGGTGAGACCAAGAGAGGCACTGCAGTGCCCTTGGCTGCTTGTAAGACTCCTGATATATTGTAATGGTCATACAGAAGCAGGCAGCCCAAGCCTCACACCCCTGAGCCCCCCTGCCTCCGTCTCCCCCAGTACCCCAGCAGAGATGGCCTAGGGCCCAGGAGAGAGGCAGTGCGGGGTGACTGCAAAACAACAGCAGCAACAGCCATGAGCTTTTGGTGTGAGCTTTCAGTGTCTGTTGGCATTGGCCTGAATCCCTGTTTTCCCATCTATGTGCTGTGTGACTTTGAGCACATTCCTTAGCCTCTCTGAGACTTGAATTCTCTGCCCATTATCGGGCATTTTGTCATCAATATTACGTGACAAAGATCCCAACTCAGTAGGCCCTGTGCTTTCTGCTTAAATAATCCCCCAGCTACCAGATCATCTTGCTGCTGCCTGGCACTTACAGTCTCTGTGATGATCTCGTCTCTGTGTTTCTTTACTTGTTTACTGTTTCTTTTCATCTAATAGACTATAAATCCCTGAGGGCAGGGACTTACCCATCAGCTCTGCCTCTGCAGCTAGGACCCATCACAGAGCCTGGCACGAGTAGGTGCTCAGTAAATATTAGAAAAAATAAGAGACAGTCTGGAGGACAAAGAGCATGAGGGATCCATGTGGGGTGTAAAAAATCTATACCTTGATTGTGGCAATAGTTACATGACTATATGTTTACTAAAACTTATGGAACTGTGCCTTGCAAAAGGGTGGATGTTACTATATGTAATTATACCCTCAATATCTGACCTTTATTTTTATTTATTTATTTTTATTTTTTTAATGTTTTATTTGTTTCTTAGAGAGAGAGAGAGACAGCATGAGCA